AGGTAAGGGCACAGCCTGGTGTCAGGGCTCCGGTCTGGCCCATGTTCCCTCCTGGCCCTGATACGTGGTAGCTGAGTGGCCACGGCCAAGTCATTTAACAGCCGGGTCTCAGTTTCTCCATCTGGTCAATGGGTGACAGCCTGACTCCCTGAGTGTTCTAAGGGTTAAATGGGAACACAAAATGCCCAAAATGTCAGTGGGGTGCTCACCCTTCCTCCTAGAGAAAGAAGGAGTGAGTCGCCGGGTAGGGGGAGGTAGATGGGCGATGAGGACGGAAGCCAGCAGCCTCAAGGGTTGTCTCACGTTTAGGAACATTACAGAAAGGATTCTAAATGACAGTTTCCATCTAAACACGATTTATTTTCCAAAATTACAGTCAGGTGCCAACGTCAAAACGTAGTTTTCCTTTTATCCAATGAACTTAACGAAGGGAGAGCGAGCAGGACACGCGGCCCGGGGGCAGGAGGAGGGTAAAGTAAAAAGATAAAACGGACAAACGCTCGTTAAACACGATCCAGGCAGGACACAGGGCCTGGGATGAGACACGCGAGTGTTTCAGGTTCCAGTTCCTTTGAAACAGATCGTCAGGTCGGAAGATTAATTTGATTTTTTTTTTTTTTAATGAGCCATGGCGCTTGAGCTACGGTTGGTCGCAGACTTTTCCTTAAATGCAGACTGACCGGCTGGAGAGAAGGGGGTGCGGGGCACGAGGCCTGGGCCCGGGGAGGGAGCTGGACCAGCTCTTTCCGGGAGGCAGGTGAGCGCGGGGGAGGCAGAGCACCTGGACTCGCACGAGGGTGTGACCATGTGACCGCGGGTCAGTGCAGACCCCGAGCCTCAGCCTCACGGGCGAAAGGAGGACAGTAACGGCACCGGACGCCGTCTTCACGCGCATTACATGGAACAATGCCGCTGGGACACCCGTGGGAGCCACGCACAAGGCAGGAGTGGAGCACATGGAAGCTTTGACCTGTCCATCAGTCACGTGACTAAGCAATGGCCTCTGCCCTCGCCTCCCGAGCGTCAGACACCTGGCCGAGGTCACCAGCTAGCCAACAGGAGAGCTGGAAGGCCCGCCCCGCATGCTCCCCACTGTGCAGCCCCCCCGCCCCACGCAGCCCTGCTGCTGGGCGACTGCAACCCCATCAGGCCGGGCCTGCCCTCCAGGGGCTCAGTCTCATGAGGGGAAGGCAGATGCACACGCAGCCATGCAGGGACGTCACCGCCTTCGTGCGGGGAGGGAGGCCGAAAGGGGGTGATGCTTTCCCAGGGAGCGGGGGTCAGGGGAGACGCACAGCACATGAGAGCTATATAGTACCGCACGCCCAGGAGCTCACCGGCCCAGGGCCTGGCACGCGGCCAGGATCGTTAGATGTTGCTATGGGTTGACAGGGGGCAGACAATGAGGGATGAGGGGCGGCTGGTTGGCTGCCCGGACAGGGGTGGGAAGCAGACGGTAGGATGAGTGAGATGATGAGCATGGGAGACACATGGGCGGGAGGACAGGTGGGTGGATGGGTGGGGGGTGAGTAGGACTGGCTGGGTAGATGGGTGGGTAGGTACTGCCCGGAATGAAGAGTGGACAGAAGGGGCCGGGGGAGCGGGGGAC